CTCTGCTCCTTTCCTTGTCTGAAAAAATTCTTTGATTCCTTTCTTCCCATATTGTCCAGCATACTGCCGCTCTTGTACACCCCCAAAATTCAAAGAGTTCTCACCCTTATCCATAGGACCTGAATAAAATACCAAAATTACCCCCACTATTTGCCACCTGACAACCTGACCTTAATCTTCTTGCTGAATTGCAAAAGAACTGCCCTCTAACCCTTTGTTACCTGTTGAAAACCACTTCTATTGAACTTCCATCCCCCTCTTTAGGAACTCCTACACTTTCCTCCCCAGTCACTAATACTTTGCCTTCAATCAAAACACAAAATTTATAGAAGTTACCTGCAAACAAGAACTCAGAAAAGGACAGAACCAAAGATGAATCATCTGATTCAATGGGGATTTTGGAAACCTGCAACTGGCCCTTGAGTTGAACCACTTCTATCAATGTTCCTAAAGCGACCATATGCAACACAGACCCCTCAAAAAAAAAAAAAAAAAAAGCTGAACTGCATGTGGAGCAGAACTCTTGCCACATCGATCCACAAGTATCTTTAATGAAACATTATTCAATGTCACAACTGACCACACCCATTGATCAATTCTAAGTTTGGCTCTATGCCATTGTTTTATCCCCTGTTCCAAAATGCTTTCAGCTTCTTCCTCAGCTGAGCAAATAAAAAAAGGCCTCCACACAATTTCCTAACCTCCACTAGTCCATCAGTGCTCCATTTCTTTGTCAACCACTATGCTACATTCCTTACATCAGGATTACAATTTACAAAATATCCAACGAGACAAGCTTCTTAAAATTCTATCCACTTTTTCAACTTCCCTGTCTCTGCCAACTCAACTATATTGTTTTCAAGTCCTACAATATTCAGGAGGATTACTAATAGATGATAAGAACTAGACTAAAAGCAACCTTATCCTAACGAGATCACATCAGTGCCTCACATGCACAACCCAGCGTGCATGGAAACATCTCCCATACTTGTCAGTGGGAGATGTTCCCAATACACAGTTGGGATGTGCTGTGGGGTGCCACTGTGAACTCTATCCTAGCCATGGTTTCAAATGTCGCGAAATGTTGCTAATGTCGCCCGACATATGTTGATGTCGAAGTTCACCGACATGAAAATGGATAGTAATATAAAAATTACATTATTTCGGTTGACACTTCCTATATTTCGGAAATGTCAACCAAATCAGTCCAAATAACCAAAAAAAAAGACAGTTTTTCCTATTATGTCGACTAATGTACATTAATAATATAATATATTAGTATATTATATTATTATAATACAATATATTAATATAAATTATTCCATTAATAATTTCTATTTAATATTT